TCTTTACTCCCCAGTATAAGATCTTCAAAGATCCATGAATAAACCAATAACCATTACTGATTTCTGAATCTGCAACAGCAGAGTTATCATTATCTAATTTGTATGCTAAATAAGGAGTTTCATTGAAACCCCCCCAATCTCTGCCTGTCTGTGACACCTTCTATCACTGCCTATCAGAAGTGATTTGCTTGTGTAAAGATAAAACTAAGTAGTTCTGGTTACACATTTAGTGCACCCAGAGAAAACCATATTTCCCTAGGGACCATGGACTTTGGATACTGAAAGTGTGTCTCCTTTACCAAATGTAAGGGAAGAACTGAATCGAAGGGTATTTTGTTCCAATCACAGTGTTACATGGCTATGTTCCTATTTTTTGTTTACAAACATCAAAAACAGTGTATTTCAGGCAGCTCTAGTATAAATGTGATAATGTATTGCTAAAATATTTGAGATGTTGTGCTGATGTAGTAGCAGCTGCTGAAATCAAACTGACTTATCATAGTATTGCATGCGATACCTAAATTGTGTGAACCGCTTTTGCTATGTACATGTATAAATTAATACAGAGCATATTGAAAAGGCAATGATATGTATTTGCATATTTTTTCTAGAGAAATATATTTTCATTTTTCATCTTTCATCCATTCATCTTGTTTCTGCTCATTCCATGCTTCCTTCATTTCAACCTTATACTACCAATATCCCACCTTGTTTGTCTTGTAGGAGCCAGAAAGATCTAAAAGCATAGGTTTCGTGGATCACAAGATCCTTGTCTTTATTAGTGTAACCACTTTCAATCTAACCTAGTGACACAGCCCTCATAACTCTTGATAATATGAAACCCTCCATAACTGCCAGTCTGTTATGAGATTTATTTGAGGATTACAGCATGCAAATCCAGGACAAGGAAGTAAAAAATCATTTTGATATGTGTTAGTTTCCCTTGCTCTGGAGCCAGACTTGATCTGTCCAATATCACCTCAGGTCACTAGAATTGGTATAATTACAAGTTTCTAATATCATTTGGAAGAAAGACTGAGACTTAATAAAAGGTAACCAATTAAATATCATTAGGATGCATAAGGCCACTATTGGAGATTTATAAGATCCAGAAAGCAAGAAATGGAAACCTGAGGATTAAGTGTGAACTCCTGAGCTAATAAAGGGGAACAAGAGTGATTCATAGATGTAGCACCCTAAATTGCTGCCTCCTGAGACCAGGGAAATTTTTTGAGAAGGGATATACATCTTTCCCTGTATGGTCCACAGAGCAGAAATAACAGACTGGTAAATCCTTAAGATCTTAAAGAACAAAAGTAATTTTCCAAACCAAAAATGTAATTCTTCAAGAGGTTTACTTGCACAGAGGTAGCTGCCCATCTCCTTGGATATTCTAATATAAAGTGGCTCAAATGGGCCTTTGTGTACAACTGATTATTATAATCCTGAGGGCGGGGAAGGCATTGGAAAAGACATGATAGATTTTTTTTCATCGTGAGGCTACACTTCATTCATTACTCACTGGTACAGATGTTTCCTACATGTCCCATCCTACCATAAGTCTAACATTTAGTAATAGTACTGGTTGCTTACTTTCTCTGTCAGGGCTACAAATCAAAACCTTCTAAGTGAAAACTTAACCATCGATATTCTGAGGGTGGGAAAACAACATATGGGTTCTGGGAATTGAACTCAGGACCTCTGGAAGACCAGCCATTGCTCTTAACCATTGAGCCATCTCTCCAACCCCACATTTTCAAACTAAGAACTTTAAACATTTTTTGTTTGCAACATGGGATTAATATCCTTTCAATATCTCCAAATAATTGCAAGTATCGAAGAAAAGCACCTTTGAAACTATAGCAAAGGTTTATATGAAAACGTTCCTAATCTTCATCCTTCAATTAGATTCACAATGTCTTTGAGGATTTCAAATTTTATTTTAAGTGTTGGCCAGACAGTCCCTTCTGGTCCTGATCAATGCCTATTTTCCACTTAGAGAAATTCAATATAATCTATGTAACTTTCTCAGAAGCCCTTCCACTGAAACTCAAACTGGACCACCAGTCTTTCCCTATTGACTAGCAGTGCCACCTAATGTCACTGCAGTCTCCATTGCTGAAGTGATCTATTATCCTTTAATTAGGAAAATTTGCCTCCAAATATCTGACTATGTCAGTGAAGTGTTCAATAGAAATTCAATACATTCAGTTGAAATGTCTTTCATTTAAAAAGAAAGAAAGAAAGAAAGAAAGAAAGAAAGAAAGAAAGAAAGTCACAAGTAGACCAAGAACTATGTCTCAATTCATCCCTGCCAGTCAGGCTAACCAAAGCTGATACACAGATCTCTCACACATCTACAATACTCCTAGGCATAGACTCAGCTACAACTCCAAAAATATCTGTGCAGCCAAGGTGGTAGTCAGTCTGCCTGCCACAAGAATTCTGCTGGGCATGACTTATCCCCTGTGCCAATACACTGTGACCTCCGTGCACTGTCATGGACAGACAGGTACTGTGGGTCTCATGGAGATAACTATGAAGACGCCAAGAAGATAAACAGCATTCAAGGGAACACTGAACTCTAAAGCAGGCCAATAGCCACCAGCTCTTCTACCTTTTATAACAACAAGTCAACTCCTTAGTCCCATTTTAGTGATGTCTCATTCACACTACATAAAAGGAAGTTGAAGAACTTCCACATACAACAGTTAGTATTAGATACTTTCTTGATATTATAATCAAATGCCTGATGAAAGCAGCCTTATGGAGGAGGATCAATCTGGCTAATGGTTTAATAATGAAAACAGCCATTGGATTCACTCATTAAAAAAAAAGGCACAAAGTTGGGAGGGCCATGTGTTTGGGGGCTGGGGAGGAGTTGGATGGGGAGGGAGTAAATATTATCTAAATATAAAAATCTCAAAGAATAAATTTACAATATTAGAATTACCATAAAGAAGGGATACCTCCCATCTTGACAGGGAAAGTACCACGGCAGAACCATAAGGGCGTGGTCATATAGTGTCTACAGTCCAGAATAGAAAATACACAAGATGTAGGGCAGATAATAAAACCTTGCTGTATCCAGGCTGCAATAGTATCCCTCCATAGGGAATGAGCTCCCAAAGTCCATTTGTGCTATAGGGTTAAAAACTGGCTCCACTGTTATGTTAGGTCCCATAGACTGTCTTGGCCTAAAAGACCGTCTCCTACTAGTTGAAAGAACAGAAAGGATTGTTTATACCATATATGGTTTGGGTCCAAAACTACCATAATTATTGATCTGCAGATTTCATTCAAATATAAGGACTCTATGGATGAAAGGCATATGCAACTTAAAAGTTTGCTTCTAAGACTAGGAAGATGCCTCAATGGGTGAACATTTATTCTATAGAAATATGAGGAACTGTGCCCCGGCCCATGGGTTTTTGGTAATTCATGGGTCTCGAGGGGGACTAAGCCTGAAAATAAATGGGCGAGAAAGAAAGATCGAGACCAAGCAATGTGTTGTCAAGGTCTGTTTATTGAATTTAAGCAAGGCGTTTTTAAAGAGAAAGGAGGAAGTAAAGAAAGAGGAAGTAAGGGAGGGGAGGAATGGGTGTTAAATGCCCTCAGGCCTGGGCAGGTGTTCCAGAACTTTCTTGTGGTTTATCTCAGAACACTAACCTAAGGGGTGGGTTGCTTGACTAAATTGGCGGTTTAGCATGGAGGTCTCCAAGCCTCTTGTAATGAAGACTTTTATATCTGACCAGGGCTGGCTCCTGACAGAACTGAGTTAGAATCCCTAGCGCCACTATCAAAAGTCATTAATGGCCATAGATGCCTGTCATCTCAACACATGCTGGAGGTGGGGGGGGCAAGATTGATGGAGCTTGCTGACCATTCAACTAGCCAGAAAATAGTGATTCCCAAGTTCAGTGAGAGACCCTTTCTCAAGGTAATAAAGTGGAGAGTGATAGAGCATGGTTCCCAGTATCCTCCTCTAATCTCCAAATATTGTGTATGCATAAGCAAATGTGAGTGCACACACACACAAACACACATGAGTGCACACACATACACACTTTAAGTTTTCTTCTGTTCTCACACAGTGTTTGGTTGCAGGTTCTTTATCTTGAATTGAAGGAACCAGCTTCCCTTTTGGCAGCCATAACGGCCGAACACATGTTTCTATGACCTTGCCCTTGACACTAGAAAGTCATATGCCTGTCTCGTGACAAGGAACCAATCAGAAGTTAGCTGGTGGTGCTATGCTTTACGACCCTGGGTGTGCTTTACGGACAAGCGCACAGCAATGACGTAGAGATCATAGCAACCGCCCTGGGAGGGCCTATGGGCCATAACAACCAGTTGACCAATCAACACAGGGCAAGCCCTCCAAGCCTGGAGGCACACCAATCGTGAGCCTGTGCGTACCCCTAGACACTCCCCTTACGCTACCCTATAAGATCTTGTGGGAGCCCCTAGGAGTCGTCTTTTCTAGCTGTCTGCCATGGCAGGTGGGTGAAAGACCCGAGCTAACATGGGGTTAGCTCGTTAAATTACAATAAAGCCTCGTGCAGTTTGCAGCAAGCTCTCGAATCCACCTGGTGATTGGGGTGACCTCGAACGTGGCCTGGGACCCCGGATACTTGAGTTTTCGGGGGTCTAACAGAATGTGCCTTTTATGCACATATTTGGTGTCTTAGTTGGGTTTCTGTTGCTGTAAAGAGACATCATGAACACAGTAACTCTTATACAGGAAAATATTTAATTGGGGCTGGCTTACAGTTTCAGAGATTTAGTCCATTATCATCATGGCGGTTTGCAGGCAGACATGGTTGCCTGGGCCTAGCTTGTATCAGTCCCATGCTACAGAGGCTGTCTATTCTAGACTGATGTCTTTGGGGGCTGTGATCAGAGCCAGCTGAATGACCCGGGGTCCATCCCTGAGTCGGGGAGTGCTGGACGAGGAAACTCCCAGCTACCCAAGGTGATAAAAACCAGACACAGACTTCTTGTCATTTCAGTAGGGTTCTCAGTCCATCCTGGAGTCTGGAGTCCATGGTTTATTCAAGCATCCTCTTAAATAGCTTTCCAACAGTGGAGGTGACAGCAGAAGACTCTCATGTACAAAGCTGATATCAATTGCCTCCTTTAATCCTAGAGACAACCCTAAACAGCCCCTAGGCATGTAAACAAGTCCTTAGAATAGGTGTGGGTACACCCAGGGCCTAGGTCTGTTGTTATGCAAACTAGAAAACATTCTCCACTGAGGCCAAGCCATCTGGTGGTAATTAGCCAGCATCTGAAAGACAATGAGAGATTCAGGCCCCTGGAAATCAAGCTGAGGTTTGGACCCCAAAGCTTTATAATCAATATTTTTGGGCCCCAATACATGGTGCTAGAGAAGGAGCTCAGAGTTCTACTTCTTGATTCACAGTGAAAGACTTAAAAATTAACAAAGAAATATAACCCAGATAAGGAAACTCTCCAAACTGAATGTAAGGCAGCCTAACCCAGAAATTAAGGCCACTACTATGACTTAGTGCCTGGAATTTACCAGCTTACAAGGCCATAAGATAACTGGGTATCAAGAATTCCCAAATGGCCAACCTCCCCGAGGGGCTCATGGAGGAAACAGATTGCCCCACTGGCCAATGTGTCAATAATTAACAATTATGGGTCCCTATGAAACAAAGAGATAGCTACCATTTGCTCAGGCAAGATAAGCATATCCTGAGGTCTGCAGGTTTTACAACTGGTGGGTCAGGAGGCCATCTGATTCCCAGGCCTCCCCTCAAGACAAAGGGCCTCCTAGGAACCCATGACTCTGGTCACATATTCAATGGGCAGAGAGTCGAGGCCCCTCCCTAAGCTTATGGTTTTTGCCTTTAAAAACGCCTGTGCCTGGGGGACAGGGCTGCTCTCTAGCCTGCATGCTGGGAGAGCCCGTTTGTACAAACCTTTCATTAAAGCCTCTTGCTGTTTGCATCAAGTTTCCGCCTCCTCGTGATGATTGGGGTGGCTGCAGTCCTGGGAAAAGATTCTGGAGGCCTGAGCTTCCCGGGGTCTCACACCAAGTAGCAGAAGCAACTGTGTCACTGGCATAGCATGAGCATATTTAAGACCACAAAGTCCGCCTCCACAGTGACACACTTCTTCTAACAAGGCCACACCTCCTAATAGTGCTGCTTCCTATGGCCACACATTCAAACACACGAGTCTGTAGGGGCCATACCAATTCAAATCACCACATCTAGGAAATAAAGTATTTTGGAAAACTTTCCATGATCTGTCAATGAACAGAAGACACTTGCTGAAATCTTGAGGATAAGTAGGCAAGGCTATGTTTTGTGCAGTCTTGATTTACTTTCTATTGTTGTGAGTATACTATGGCTAAGACATATATAGACAAAAAGAATTGATTTGGGACTGACAGTTTCACAGGGTTAGAGTCCATGACTATCATAGCAGACAGCATGGCAACAGGCAGACAAGCTTGGCACTGGAGCAGTAGCTGGGAGCTTACATCTTGATTCACAAATAAGAGGCAGAGAGCGCTAACTGAGAGTGACAGACCTACTCCAGGAAGAGCACACCTCCCAATCCTTCCTAAACTTTTCCATCAACTGGAGACTAAATATTCAGATATATATGCCTATAGAGATAATTCTCATTGAAATCACAACATTCTACTCTCTAACCCACATAGGCTTATATCATAATGTAAGACACATTTAGTACAACTTCAAGTGTCCCCGTAATATTTGAGTCTGAATACACTTTAAAGTCCCAAAGTCTCTTCTGAGACTCAAGGAAATTTGTTAATTGTAACACTTATAAAAATAAAAAGGCCTTACATGTGAAACAAGCTTGTTCCCTAACTTGAACTAATAAAAAAAATTAAAAAAAAATAAATAAAAAATAAAAAGGCAAGTTATGAACTTCCAACATATATAATAATGGCATAGAATATGCATTACCATTCCAAAATGTAGGAATGGGGGCAAAATGAAGAAATACTGCACCAAAGCAAGACCAAACCCCCACAGGGCAAACTCCAAAACCTGTAACTCCATTTCCAATGTCAGGGGGCTTAGATGACTCCACCTCTCCTGCATTGTTGACTGTAATATGCTTCTGTCCCTTGAGCTGGTTCCACTCCCTGTGTGCAGCTCTCCTTGGCAGGTATCCCATGGTTCTGGCATGTCCAACATTTGAGGTCTCCAAGACGACCCAGGCTTCACTTTCACAGCTTCACTGATTGACCTCTCAGAGACTCCATGCAAGAGCCCCACTGCCTCATGCCTGGCTTCAGCATCTTTCTTAATCACAGAGGAAGATTCCACAACCTCACTCCTGGTGTGTCTGTCACTGCTCTAAAGCCAGAATCCTGTGAACAACATGACCAAATCTGAGGCTGTCACCTGACCCTTCCCTGAATTACATTTGCAGAAACTTTCTTTTGTTGCTTTTTATGAGAAGAAAATTCCCAGGCCTTTCTTTCTAGCAAGCTTAGATGGGTGAGATCTTGCTCTGAGGGCACCCTACCCCTTATTCCAATTCGTGTCAGACCTCTCTTTACCTCCTTTAGCACAAGCCTTGGCTCCAGCATTAAATGTCCTGGTGCTCTTTTTCACTTCAGTGAATATGGTCTAAATTTCCTTTTGTCCTTCTCATTCTTTTCGTTGTAGACCTGCATGAGAGAGAGTGCTAATAACCACTCAACAGATCAATATTAGACTGTCTTGAAATCTCTTCTGCCAAGAAAATTAATCCAATAGTTTTAAAATTAGCTTCAGAAAGATTCTTAGGATGTGGATAAAAGGAATACACTTTCTTTGCCAGAATATCAGAATAATGGACGCAGCTGCTAATAGTGTTTCCCTCTGAAACCCCTTGAGAGAGGCCTTGGTAATCCACATTGTTCTTAGCACTTTTGTCTTTTGAGCTCCAACTAGGATGACTCACTAAGTCATGTGTAGAGTGTTAAACCTCTTTCCTAATCCAAAGTCCCCAAGGTTTCCATTTTCCTCCCCAAAACAGCATGGCCAGGCCTGTCACAGTAACAGTCCACTCCCTGGTACCAACTTCATGTTTTAGTTACTTTTCTATTGCTATAAAGAGGCATCATGACCAAAGCAACCTACAGAATAAAAAGTTGATTTGGGACTTACAGTCTAAGAGGGTTAAGTCCATGACCACCACAGCAGGGGGCATGGCAGCAGGTTGGCAGGCATGGCACCAAAGTAATAACTGAGAGCTCACATACTGATTCACAAGTGGGTGGCTAATGTGGAAAATTACCAATATGGAGCCAGGTAAAAATACAAGGGTATTTAATAGGGAAAAGCCTTACTTACAGAGCAACCTAGCCAGCCGGCAGGGCAGCAGTAAGTACAGCAAGCCGAAGATGAAAGTGAAAAAAGGGCCATCATGTAAGCATCCCTCACTCTTAAACTTTCCCTACATCACCCTGACCACACCCTCGAAGGCGTGGTCAGGCACACCTGTAGCCAGCCCCTAAGCAGGCGTGGCTACAGCATCCTCTACAGGTGGCAGAGAGAGTTACCCAAGAGTAGCATGGGCTTTTAAACGTCAAACACTACTCCCAGTGACACACCTCGTGTCTAACAAGACCACACTTACTAATCCTTCCTAAATAGTTCCAATGAAGGGACCAGCCCCCCATTTTGGCAGCCATGACAGTAACCGTGCTCACTATGACCTTGTCTTAGTCACTAGAAGTTAGGTACCTGCCTGGTGACAAGGAACCAATCAGAAGATAGCTGGTGGCGCTATGCTTTACGACCCTGGGTGTACTTTACGGACAAGTGCACAGCAATGATGCACAGAGCATAGCAACCACCCTGGGAGGGCCTATGGGCCATAACAACCAGTTGACCAATCAACACAAGGCAAGCCCTCCAAGCCTGGAGGCACACCAATCGTGAGCCTGTGCGTACCCCTAGACACTCCCCTTATGCTGCCCTACAAGATCTCTCGCAGCCAGTTCAAACTGTCTTTTGTAGCCAACCGCCATGGTGGGTGGACAAAAGACCCGAGCTAACATGGGGTTAGCTCGTTAAATTACAATAAAGCCTCATGCAGTTTGCAGCAAGCTCTCGAATCTGCCTGATGATTGGGGTATTGGGGTGACCATGGTCATGTCCTGGGACCCTGGATACCTGAGTTTTCCAGGGGTCTAACACCACCAACCTAGGGACCAAATATTCAAATACATGAGCCTATGGTGGCCATTCTTTTTTTTTTTTTCAACATAACATTTTATTGGTTCTCTGGGAATTTCACATCATGCACCCCAATCACACCCAGTCCTTCCATGTCATCTTCTACCCTTGTGTCCTCCCCCTGCCAAAAAAAATGTAAAAATAAAAATAAGAATTAAAAAAATAACAAAAAAGTCCAATCTGTGTTATCTATATATTCACTGGAGCATATAAACTATCACAGTGGTGAATAAACGTATTCTGAGGAATGGCATGGTAGAACAAGTCAAGATGGCAAACTGGATAGAAGATGACTTCCTTCCAGGAAATCAACCCCAAAGAAACTACAGAATCTGACAGAACACATGAATTTCAGTAATTAGCTCATTAGTAATAAAAGAGATCAACTAGTGGGAGAAATGTAACACAAATGAGAAAAGATGAAAACAAAGCTTCATGTGCATTTGAGGAGGGGAAGGATAGCTAGAGAAGACAGGCAGAGACCATATTCAATGAAGGCCAGGAGAGAAGACAGATTCAGTGTGTCTTATACTTCAACTCTCTCCAGTTTTGGGGAACTATCCTTCATACAAAGTCTGATTGTTGCTCCCAGTGTTCATGGGATACTCTCAGAGCAGCTCAAAAGCCTCAAAGACCCAAGGAGTTCATACCAACAGATATGCACAGCAGCTACCCAGGACATTCATGCCTCTTCTTTTCAACTCCCAAGGAACTGGTGGTTTTTAACCTGTGGTGGTTTTCCCCATCCTAGTGTCTTTATTCACAAAGTTTTATAAGTGTTCAGGTTGAGGTTTTCCTAGTGTAATAATAATAGAAGGAAGGACCCAGTATACTTCCATTTAACTGCTCTTCACCATTTGATTCACCTCCTTTATTTACCTTAAGTTACCAGAACTCAGAAAATTAAACTTTGTCCTTTAATCCCCAAAAAGGAGTTTTCAGGACAAATCCAATAGAAGTTTCAATAGAGAGCTTGAAGACACAAAGTATACCATCTGCCAGTGGTCAAGAAACACTGATATATCCAGAAAGTTAGAAATGTATGTTGGAAGACTTAAATGGCACTGCTTGCAACACAAAGGGGAAACAAGAGGTCATATAAAAGAGTCTGTTGAGACTATGGGTTATATGAATGCAATAGCTGAAGTAACACCAGGCAGAAGAGCTAAAATAAATACTATTTAATTAAAACCATGGACACAACTTTATATAAATTAATGAAATAGAAATTCATATTATAAATCTCTCCAGGAATAAAATATGTTTGAAAAGCAGAATAAAAGAACTGAGAGGCAGAGATGGACAAAAGTGGTCCCCAAAATAACATAAAAGTGAAAATGGAAAATTGAACACATTTATTAAAATGTGGTTAAAAATTCTCACAACTTGATTAAAAGAAAAGTTAGAACAAAGGGGATTAGTAGAAAAGGGAAAACACACAAAGAAAACTTAAAACCAAACAGAAATGAAAAATGTTGCAGCAGAAAAATAAATAAAATATAGCATGGTAGTTTGTGTGTAATTGGCTCCCACAACTCCCAATGGGAGTGGCACTATTAGGATGTGTGGCATTGTTGAAGTAGACATGGCCTTGTTGGAGGAAGTGTGACACAGTGGGTATGGGCTTTGAGGTCTCCTGTGCTCAAGCCTCACTCAATGTGACTCTCAGTCTATTTCCTATTGCCTACACATAGACATGTAGCAAGTACCTCTTCAGCTCCACATCTGCTGCACACCACCATGTCTCACCGTGATGATAATGGACTGAACCTCTGAACTCTAAGTGAGCCACTCCAATTAAATGTTTTCCTTTGAAAGAGTGGCTGTGGTCATAGTGTCTCTTCATAGCAATAAAAACCTTAACTAAGGCAGATACTATCTGAAGATAATATCGGAGTAAAGATAACATTAGACAAAAATCATAAAGGACACTGTTAATCTACTCAAGCAGCTATAATAAAATACCATGGGCTATGTAGTCTAAAAGCAAAAACTGTTAGTCTTTCAGAGGACCTGTGTTCAGTACTCAGCACCCATGCAGTAACTCACAACTGTTCATAATTCTAGTTCTCAGTGCTCTGACTCCTGTTCTGACCTCCACATTAGACATGAATATGGGGCACACATGCACATGCAGGAAAAATACTTACGCACCTAAAAATGAAATAAAAAAATTTAAAACCTAATGTGATACTAAAATAAGAGAAATGCCATTTTACAATCCTGAATCTCATTTTAAAGTAGAGAATATTCATTTATTTTCAGTATCAGTCTGTTCAGAAGTAATGCCAATTTGACCTTTGGAAAATACATTGAGGAAGAAGATCTCTAAAGAGATTGATAGAAGAACAAAGAAATAACTATTATTTTAGGAATATTTAATATGAGGATGAACAGTTAATACACTGCAAAGACTACAAAACAATATCATCACCGTAGTATTTGCATGCTCACTGATAATCATATTAAAAAATTAAAACAGATTAAAAATTAGTTTTAAAACTTAATAGGTAAAAAATATACATAAAAAATAAGCAGAAATTAGAAATCTTGTGTAAAATAGTAAATAACTACTAAATGATGTGACTTTACAGATATGTCCTATCAAATATGTGGAGGAATAATTCATGTCAATTTAAATTTTATATAAATATATATATATATATATATGTTCTTATTTTGGGTTTTTGAGACAGGATTTCTCTGTGAATCTTTGTAGACCAGGCTGGCCTTGAACTCACAGAGATCCACTCCTGCCAATGCCTCCTGGGTGCTAGTCTTAAAGTCGTACACCACCCACTGCTCAGCTAATTAAGAGGGCAGCCAAGTCACAGAGAAACCCTGTCTCGAAAAACCAAAAAAAAAAAAAAAAAAAAAAAAAAAAAAAAAAAAAAAAAAAAGGAGGGCAGCACAAGTCAAAGAGGCAATGTTTGCCAGTAGTTTTAGAAAAATAGACCGCCATAATGGGGCATGTGCTGTCTAACCCTGCAGAGACAGAAGACTTCAGGGCTATGAATATTAAAAAGGTGAATCTGTACTCTTAAAAGGCATAAAGAAATGCTTTGGGCAGAGAAGTATGTCTTGTACTCATGTCATAAGTGAAATCCATCTTTCTGTTGCCTACAATAAAATCACCTTATCTTCAAAGATAGGAACCACCTTAACATGAGATGATATTCCAAGTAAATATAACCAGGAAGCAAGGAGGCGTCCCTGTCCTAATATCTGACAAAGTAGATTTCAAACTAAGATTAATCATAAGAAACAAAGACAGATTTCATTTTAATCAAGAGAATAATTAAGCAAGTAAACACCATAATCCTAAGCATATATGCACCAATGTGGGTATAGACAATTTCACAAAAAGTACATTACTGAACTTACATACATAGATTAATTTCAGCTAAATAGGTGATTTCAATATCACAATTTCTCTAATAGACAAGATATCTGGATAAAAAATAAATAGGAACTTCAAAATTAAGTTATATAATTCAGCAAATTGATATAATAGATATCTACAGAATAGTCCATGCAAACATCAAAAAATACTTACTCTTCAGCAGCTAATGGAAGTTTCTCTAAAATAGACCACACACTTGGAAAAAAAAAAAAAACTTAGTTAATTCAGAAAAACTGCAATGACTTCATATATCCTATCTGACAATATAGTAATTATACAAACTCATGGACAGTAATTATACAAACTTGTGCAGATTAAACAACTCAAGAAAGAGACCAAGAAATAAATAAAAAGAAAATCCCAGAATTAAACAAAAATTAAAACACAACAAAACAAAATCTCTAGGGCACGTTAAAATCAGTCCCATGATTTTAATAAGCTATAAGTACCTACATTTTTAAAACAGAAAGATAAAATATCAGAGAAAAAATAAAACCCAACTACTTCCACATTCCAGAATTTAGGGTATCCTAAATTTGTATTCCTAGGTCATGTTCTTTCATGTTTGGCTTTAGAATAAACTATGTCTTATTCCCTTTTCGGATAAAGAAAAATCATATGATTGTATCGATTAAGAACAAAAAGGACATCATATCAAAGACTCCCTTCTTCTGAACCACTCAGACTACAAACTCAAGTAGTAAACTGCCCCACATGAAACATACGCCAAATTTGTCTAAGAACACAATCCTGTGTAAAGTGGGAAATTACCAATATGAAGTCAGGTAGAAATACAAGGGTATTTAATAGGGAAAAGCCTTACTTACAGAGCGACCTAGCCAGCTGGCGCGGCAGCAGTCTGTATAGCAAGCCAAAAAATGAAATCGAAAGTGCCCAGCCACCTGACCACCTCTCACTCTATGTCACCCTGACCACGACCTTGCAGGCATGGTCAGACACACCTGTAGCCAGCCCCTAAGTAGGTGTGGCTACAGCTTCCCCTACACATGTGACCTTCAGAAATGCTGGGTCTTCAATACCATTAACAACTGAGAACCCAAACATTTCTCTCAGTTTTCATGTTTCCTAAATGCTTTATAATTTGAATGTTGATATTTGTGACATTTATGATATTTGCTATTTTGCTTGGTTCTAAGTGATAAAATAATGCTAATTTGGGTTTTAATAAAGTTATAAAGGACAATATTAACCACATTTTATTAACCATGATTTTTATTATGATTGTTTAGCCTAAACTCCCATCTTTGTCAAATCTAGTTTTCATATTGAAAAGAGTCAACTATTCTCACTGTCTTGATTTTTAAAATACATTTCCCATTAGTCCATATATTTTGGACTTTTTTAAATCCGGTTTTCCAATTGAGCTTTAATTGCATTTTCTCTTACTACAAGTACACAGAGATTTGGGGTTAACTCTTCAAAATGTCTATTAACAGCATCCCTGATGTTTTGTGCCTTAAGTACTGATATTTCTTAAATTAAAATCTACATTGTCTAATATACAATTGTCCTATAGCACAATTAGCTGAGACTTAATAAAAGACTAGTTAATGATTGGATTTAGCTAATAAAAATAAAAGGACAATACTACAGTCCTATTTCGATTTCTAACTGCTAATAAAATGAAGGACTTGGTTATGCCAGGAAGGACCATAACATTCTGATGTCCAACAGCTCTTACCTCTTGTTTTTATCACTGTTACTGATAATTTGTTACATGAAAAAGACAATCTTAATTTTTAAAGGTTTAAAAAATCTATATTGTTATCTAATTTTTCTGTAATGTGACTTCCCATTTGCCTTTCCCAACTAAATCTAGTACAGTGCCAATATATTAAAACATCAATAACAGATGATAAAATATTATAATAAGGGTATTATGGAATCAATCCAGCAAGAAGACAGACTAGAATTAAAGGGCAATGAACTATTGCAAGTGCTGCAAAAATAAAATAAAATAAAATGCTCCTTATGGTACAAATGACTGTCGACATCATAGGAGATGTATCTACTTAAGGAATATTAAGGAATATTAAGACCGAGGTGAGGGATTTTTCTCCCCGGCTGGGTAGGATATCTATTTCCTTCATCTGTTGCTTTCATTTCATTAGGCAAAACAGTGTTCTTAAATATTTTAATTTTAAGTATAATAATCCCCTTATATGTCAAATGTAAAGCTGTGTCAAATACAGAGGACACATTTTTTAAAAGTCAGAACCAGGTCCTGATATGATCAAGGAGTTCCTTCTCGATGTCTTCACCAGTTACCATCTCTCCTGAAGACTGCCATCTTGCCTACTACTCAGAATCATCTACATCAGGTCCTAGGAAAGATCCTTCCTAGCGATGTGGGACGTTATAATATTTAATAAGTAATATGTGTTTACCCCTTCCCTGCCCACCTGCATAAGTGTGATGCTAAGTCAACAGGGGGGAATTGAACAAGAATTCCTGTAATGTAACTGTCAATTTCAGTGACTGTGGAGAATTTTGAATGTTGCGGTTCAGAGCCTATTTACAATTTATTTTGGGCTATCTCTGGCCCAATAGTCCTCCCTTGCCCACCTCTGTGTCAGATCATTAATGCCTTTGAAATATATTAACTTTGTTTATTTGTTTGTTTTCTGAGACTGCCTTGGCTGACTTGAAGCTCACTATGTGAACCAGGCTGGCTTAAAATTCAGAGAGATCTGTCTGCTTCAGAATTTTAGATACCGTGATTAAAGGTGTGCACCACCATGCCCAGCCCTGAAATATATCAACTTAACAAACCCCTATCCTCTAGTACTCAAAGAGCAAAGAATGCTATCAGACAGAATCCAAGGTATATATTTGAGGGTACTCCACCTGCCTATAACCCACTTCTTCGGTATTTCCACCAATATATATAAATAAAATAAAAACAATCTTATTTTACATACTAACCCCAGTTCCCTCTTCCTCCTGTCCTCCCATGCCCCCCACCAACCCTCCATCCCATCCCCAATCCACTCCCCAGGGAGGGTGAGGGCCTTCCATGGGGGATCATCGAAGTCTGTCACATCATTTGGGGCAGGACCTAGGCCCTCCCCCGTGTATCTAGGCTGAGAGAGTCTCCCTCCATAGGTTGTGGGCCCCCAAAGCCCATTCATGCACTAGGAATAAATACTGGTTCCTGTTACGATAAATCTTTCTGCCAAAAGCCACCAGAGCCCTACTGCCACGTGGGTGCTTTCCGCTAGCCACCCGAGTTCTGCCTGCCGAGTTAGGGCCCCAAATAATACACAGAGACTTATATTAGGTGCAAAGCTGCTTGACCAATGACTAGGATTTCTCATCTGTTAGTTCAGTCTTAATTATCGTAAATCTATATATTTTATAAGACTTATCTTATTTAGGAAGCCTTCCATTGGCCTCCTCATCCCGGGATCACATGGTGACTCTGGAGGAAGAGAGAGGGGGTCAGCTTCCTTCTTGTCCTTGTTTATATATGAGTCTCCCTGCCATGTCATTTCCTGTGGATCACCACTTCTCTACTACATTTCCCAGAATCCTCCTTGACTCCTAGTCCCGCCTAACTTGCTCCCTCATTGGCCAAACAGTACTTTATTTATCATCTAATAAGACAAACACACAGAAGCACTTCCCCCATCAGGTTCCATTGCCAGAGGCCCAATAGACTGCTCAAGCCCTGAAACTGACACTCACATTCCGGGGGCCTGGTTCAGTCTTATGTTGTTTCCCCAGGTATCAGACTATGGTCTTTGAGCTTCCCCTTGTTCAGGTCAGCTGTTTCTGTGTTTCTCCCCAGCATGGTCTTGACCCCTTTGCTCATCACTCCTCTCTCTCTACTACTGGATTCCAGGAGTTCAGCTCAGTGCTTAGCTGTGGGTGTCTGCTTCTGCTTCCATCAGCTACTGGATGAAAGCTCTAGGATGGCATTTAAGGAAGTCATCAATCTCATTACAGGGGAAGGGCATTGAAGGTCGCCCTCATATAGTGGTGAGTATCCCTGCCTGTCACCAATATAGTTTTTAAAGGCCTGGATTTGTTACTCTCTTTGCATGTTGAAGACTCCCAGGCTGCTGCCTGTGCTATTGGTTGCCTCCTAGAACTTGCATAGAAGACCCTGCTGCTGAAGACACCACACCCTTCAGATACAGTACTTGAAGGAATCCAGCTGAAACCTGGAGTGCATGTTTATTTATGATTTTCTTCAACAAATAGTATTAAATAAAAAGCAAGTTTGCAAACAGTGCTGTGATTTGAATGTGAAACATTTGCATAGGCTCACATTTGGTCCTCCAGATGGTAGCAATGTTTGAAAATGTTGTGGAACATTTAGGGTGTGGGGCCTTGCTGAGAGAAGCAGATCGATCATTGAAGGCAGGCCTTGAGGCTTTCTAGCCTGCCCATGATTCCTATTCACCCTGTGCTTCCTGGGTATGAATGTGATACAACCAGGCAGCCTCCTGCCTCTGCCACTGTGATGTGACCGTCTGTGCCATTGTCTTCCCTGATGTGGCAGACTACATCTCTGAGGAACTATAAGCCAAAATAAACAGGTTTTCTTTTTAAAAAGGAAAGAACAAAATAAAAGAAAATCAAGAATACAGATGAAAGAACTCTATCCACAGTTAGGCAGAAACTATAGAAATTAAAATATAAGAACTCTTAAAGAGCAACCAAAACTCACCCTGCTGGCTTAGCTGGGTCAACAAGAGAAGCTGAACATTAATAACAGAAGCCAAAAGGTGTAAAATGATGTCATCAATAGTACAAAATAAAGTGAAAATCAAGCTAGCATGTGAGCTACCTGGAAGTATGTTGTAAAACTGAGGGAGAAATAGAAGGATAACCAGAATGGCAAAATACGTTCTCCCAAAACTCTGCTCCCCCATAGAACACTGAGAAGATAGGCTATGAATATGGTCAAAACTCAAGGTCTTTAGAAATCTGCAAATTAACCAAATGCTGAAAGTAACCCTCTGGTAGTGAGTGACAGACCAAAGTTCAAAATCTAACCCATGGCTTCTGTTCTTTACCAACCCCCCATCACATGTCTTTCAATGTGTGCTGGCGATGACATAATCACTAATGCATTTGTTAAATGTTCTAATTCCCAGGCTCTAGTTAAATCTCTGGGATTGGAATAACTAGGGAGAATAATATAAATATAAATTTCAGTCTGCTTGCTTCTCAAACAACAATGGGATGAGGAATCATCAAGACCCTGGCTAAAGGGTCAGGTAGACTGGTGCCTGGGATTTCATGTCTCTGAAAGTCCCACAATGCTGCAAGTGCCCTAAGTGGTTAATATAAATGCAAAGAAGTCTGTGCATCAGTAGTATGAGCAGGATATTACCTACAGCTAAATATTCATTGTTTTCCAGACAATGACAAATAACTTTTCACAAAATTACAAAAATGTTTTGATAAATTTTCACTGTTGACTTTATCCTAAATCTTTATATCCCCAAAGGATACTGTTGGGTTGACAGGGTGTTTATAATTCATAGAAACTTCATGAACCAGAAGTTCATAGTATTTTATCCACATCACATTTGCAATCAGCCCCTAAATTCTTACCTAGTCTCTTTACAATGGTAAACAACATTCACATTGTTCATGATGAAAAATGATAGTATTCAACCATCAGAGCAGATGTCAAAAAGTGTTCGATTTACAGGAGAAGTTTCTTCATAGAAAAGGGAATAAAGCCACATTTTCAAATTCTTCAGATGAATCCATTCATTTCAGGGCTTACATTTGTGAAGGAAGTGTGATGTGGGCTATGAGTACAGGTCACCCATTCCTTCAACATACAGGAAGCCCTGAGTTTGATCTCCAGCACTGTACAAAATGGCGGTGGGAGTTAGTTCACTCTGTACTCCCTGCACTTGGAGAGGTCAGCAGCTACATAGAGAGTCTGAGACCACTCTAGGCTCCATGAAACACTGTAGCTCCCTGCAGAGGAAGACTCCAGTGTTTAGAAACAAGGGTCTTGTTTGTAGTTGGAAACATCCCCACTTCATTTAAGGTGAAAAACTTGGAACACTGTATCTTAGCACAGAACTTTCACCATGACAGCACTACAGATTGCTCTACCAGATGGCTCCAACGTGGGGTTACAATATGTTTGCAGCACTCCCTTAACCAGGTATGAATTTACATGTGGCATACTAAGTTTCTAAAAATATATTTTGTTATGACCACCCACCTATGCCTGTAATTCTGTGTGTTGTCTTCATTAATAAAGACCTTTTCTGAGCTTCTTTAGGAAGAATCATTTTTGAGAGTTTTAATTTCTGTTGTAAATATTGCATGATTCACCATACCCAGTTCTCTGAGTCGTGGGCAGATTGAAAATTTTCTTGGCCCCTGTGGTATTTCCCTGTGGTAGATGTGCTATTTCTTGTCACTGGCCAAATGGAAAATGGCATCTGTCATGTTCGGTTCAAAGGAGTAAAAGGATTTCTCTCCTGCCCTTTCTACTGCAGAAATTCTAAAAGTCACAGCAATGTGATAAAAGATGGCTGTCTTAGGGTTTCTGTTGCTGTGAAGAAACACCATGATCGTGGCAGCTCTAATAAAGAAAAACATTTAGTTGGGGTGGCTTACTGTTTCAGAGGGTTAGTCAGTTATCATCACGGTGGGGCATGGCAGAGTGCAGGGACATGCAGACATTGTGCTGGGAAAGGAATGGAGAGCACTACATTTTGATCCACAGGCAACAGGAAGTGAACTGTCTGCCACATTGAGTGTAGCTTGAGCAAAGGAGACCACAAAGCCTGTTCCCACAATAACACACTTTCTCCAACAAGGCCACACTTACTCCAACAAAGGCACACACTATGAGTTTATGGGGACCAATTACATTCAAATTACCCCAATGGCAGTGCCCTTAATAACCTTGTTTCCCAAATAGCACAGGTTCTATCAAATAAATCTTCATTGACCATTCACATAAGAATAAAAATTTGTTATGTGCACATCTTAAAAGCTAATGTGCTACAACAGAATTCATAAGTAGGGAATTGGGATTTGGTGGGTTGGTTTTATTTTTTGTGTTTTGTTTTGAGATAGAGTCTCACTCTGTAGCCCAGGCTGGCCTGGAACTCATTATGTAGCCCAGGCTAATCTCACACAGTAATTTTATTTCCTCAGAGTCCCAAGTACTGGGACTGATGACACAAACCCCTACATCTGGCTATATCTACATTTTTTAAATGTCTTACTCCAAAGTAGAAAATAAAAAGAAGGTCATGGCTTGATAGCCTCAATTTTCCCTTTGTCAAGCTACATCAGTTCTCTGAATATTTTCAATTTGTAAAACAAGGGACCTATAATATGCTGAATTCAACACATGTTTTTGGAATATATGGTATTTTGAGATGTAAGGCGCCATGCTGTGCTAATTGCTAGACACTGGTTGACCATATTGGATGACCACAATCATTCCCAGTCTCTAACTCCAAACCCAGAACTTTCACTCTATCACGAGCATGCTATAAGAATCAGCAGCTGGCCCATACTTTGGACAGACACTAATTAGAAATGTGTTGTGTGTTTTATTGATACTCATAGGAAACCTGCGCTTTCCTGGATGGAGATGGAAGAGGAAGGGATTGGGCAGAGGCTGTGGCCTGGATGTAAAATAAATAGATGAATAAAAAATGAAACAAAGAAAAACGGAAGTGACTAAACAGTAAGCAGAATTACCACTGGCATTCTGGCATTCCCCCAAAGTAGATTTGGGAAGGATGGAGTCCAAAATGTAAAATAAACTGGGGAATTATGCATGATTAAAAACATGTAATTCAAAAGAAAAAAATCTGTTGTGTGAATAAAGATGCCTTAGGAGAGAAACCATAGGGACATTCATTTTCTCCAACTACTTTCTTTAAATTCACTTTGTAAACTGAGGTTTGCCCCTATTTTGTGTAATGTTTGAAATGGTTCCCTCTCATTCACAAGAATAGTGTCATTTCATGAATTAGATGTTCACTATAACATAATCATAAACCCCACATTTCAAAATAAAATGTCTCCTCTCCATAGAGCCCTCAGGGATAGATATAGCAGCAAGGTCTGCAGCCACAGGATGTAGGGTCTTGATAGTTTTTCTCTCCTCCTAACCCTACCTGTTACCTCTGACCCCTCCAGGGTTGGTCTTAGGGAAGGCAAGAATAAGAGAGACAAAAGCATCTTGCCAGGAATCCTTCTCTGGACTTGCTCTCTCTGCTCATACTCATTTCACCATTGAAAAGGGCGAGGGAAACCTGTGAAGTCCTTAGCACTGGAAAAAAACAAAAACAAACAAACAAACAAAACCTTCCTGGGTCTCTTTACCTCTGTTTACCCCTCGATTACTGGAAAACTTCATTTGCAAATTTTGGGGACCTCCAGCCTATATATCGGTTCATGTGTTCACTATGGAGAGGTATCAGACACCTGATATTGTTCTTACCCATTGTATTGTCTGATTAAGAGTATCATTTTGACTTTCTAAACATAAATATATTTGAATTACACAGACTTACTGAGATGGAAATTTGTACTAGAAAAACAAGACAGCACCCGGATTTGAATATAACCTAGTGCACATGTACTTTACCAATTAGCAACTGCATCTCATTGTTCATATATTTAATGTAGATGACATCTACATTATATAACAGCAATTTGAAATTTAAATCAGGTTAAATGTTTACATAAAATGTCTACATATTAATTATACTTACATAATAAACTTAATAGACTCATTGAAGGAAGTCAACAAATCAATTTCTTTTTCTTGTCTTTCAGATGGATATTCTCATTGTCAATTTTCCAACAACTTTAGTTAGGAAGTCATTGACAGTGGTCTGTCTGACTTAAGCAGACTTCTGTTTTGCCATGTTTTTGCTCTTTTGGGAGGCCTGCCACCCAGCTCCCAAATAAATCACACTCAGAGGCTTATTCTTAGTTACGATGCCCGGTCTTAGCTTGTCTCATTTCTTGCCAACTTTTCTTAACAAATTATCCCAACTACCTTTTGCCTCTGGGCTTTTGACTTTTCTTCTATAAATCTTACTTTTACTCTTACTCCCTGGCTGGCTGGGTGGCTGAGTGGCTGAACCCTGACATTCTCCTCCCCTTCTTCTTTCATTGCTATCCTTCTATTTATACTGCCAGCCACACCTATCCTTGATCCTGCCTCACTATTGGCCTTTCAGCTCTTTATTAGATCATCAGGTGTTTTAGACAGGCACA